TCGGTAGTTAAAGCCGCATACCCAAGGCGCAAACACCAAAGGGAAGAAACCCGCAGTCCGAACTCCCCTCGAGGAGACCGAACTCCCTTCGAGGAGCCCAAACTCCCTACGAGGAGCCCAACCTCCCTACTAAGAGCTCGAACTCCCTACTAAGAGTTCGGGCTCCTTGTCTCGAACTCCCTACAAGGAGCCCGAACTCTCCCTTAGGCCCCAAGCCACACAAAGCAGTGACCCGAACTGACCCGCCTCATGGCAGTTCGGGATACTCCCCTATCCGAACTCCTTACGAGGAGCCTGGACTCTCCCTTAGGCCCCGAGCCACACAAAGTAGTGACCCGAACTGGCCCGCCTCATGGCAGTTCGGGACATTCCCTTATCTGAACTCAAGACTTCGCCTCGCACACCGCTCCAGCACTTCGCCTCCAGAACGCCGGAGTCCGTATCCAGGGGCGACACACCTGACTGACTTAGGATCTGACGCTTGACAGCCACACTTCAACGGCCACCTGCCACCGCCATCTCCAGTTACAGAGATGGCTCCAACAAAAAGAGCAGTGGCGGTTCTGCCCCARCAGAGGTGATGACACCCGAACTGGCAGAAGCACGGAAGTAATCATACTCGGCCTAACAGAAGCCTAGGAGTGAGTGCGCGAGGTGGTTATAAAAGGCTCTCTACCCCCCAAGAACATGGTATGCAAACTTTGCGCTATCTGGTTTTATCTTGCCTTTGAAGGATTCTAACTTGAGCTTCGGAGCCTTTACACCGGGTTCCCCCAGAGCTTCCTCATCTTCTCCATTTCAGGTTCCCTGCAATTCGGTTCAGAGACAAGGTCGTTGACAGCTAAGAACGACCGGATTGCGCCCTATGAGATTCGATCCGTTAAAACTTTGGCACGTATTGCAGAGTTTCAGAAGATGGGGACCAACGGCAAGATTTTCTAATGATTTTGGGATTTTAAAATACTTTGTTACTTAGAGAAACAGTCAAACAGGTTTCCTGGTTGACGTTCAAATTAAAATTTGAGCTCTCTAACAGTTTTTGACTTGTTGCCTACTCACTCTTGGCAAAAATCAAAGGCTAAGAGGGGGAATAGGGCTTACGTGGCCCGAGTGGATCATCAACACGTGGACTTAATTACTCAGAATGTTAACATGAGTCTCCCACGTGGCTAGTAAGAGTTTTCATCTTCGAACAATCTAGGTTGAATTGTTTATGATATTTGCTCGGCAAAAGAAGATGGGATGAGTGTGAGGTGCTGTTGTTTACCAAACTGTGCGACCCATTGAATATCTTATACCAGAATTGTGATATCTTATACCAGAATTGTGATAAAGAAATTGTGATATCTTATACCAGAATTGTGATAAAGAAATTGTACGACAATAATTTGCCATTAAGACATTGTACAACAATATATAATCCCAAGTTGTCTCTAACCATCGGAAGTCGTGGAATGGAAGAGATGACGACTACGATTCAAACCATGATACTCCAAATCTAGGTACACTTGTCATTATCACCTTCTTTTTGAAAATTTTATTTATCTATCCCCTCGCTCATTGGTTCACCAAATCATTTCCATTCCCTGAAATTTGCTTTCTTCTGTGAGTTGTGAAGTGAATTAGGCCCATCAGTCCATCACCCAACACTAACTAGGGCTTACCTTCAACATGAAATTTGTGTTTAAACAACCTATAATGAATCCAGGCTACAAATGAAACCGAGTTTCCCTCGGTCTGCCAACGGGCTACACTCACCAATCAAAGTTTGATATTAGCCACGTGGACAGAATAGAGGCAGAGACAAGTAATTGTGAAGTGAATTAGGTTGGGCTTGAATTAGAATGATTTATTTACTTTATATTGTAGGTCTCAATTTTAACCCAGTCCCAAGTTAAATAATAGTAACCTTTCTGTAGAAAATTTTGCCTAGTTTCTATTCTCCAATTTTCTTTTCTTGGCCCTAAAGAGAAAATTCTTGACCCCGTCACGGCACACGGACCTAACAGTCTTTGGGAATATTTCCTCATGAAAATATTCTCAGTAAAGACTGTTGGGATGGGACTGAAGCCGAATTTCATCGGAGTTATGAATGGCATTTAATGGCCTCAACCCCAGCAATTTAGATAGTGTTCGGCACTGTTGCTGTTTATCATAAAATCAGTGCCAGTTTAACGCCAAATAGGTGTTTTCGGCAATGGAACTTGAAATTTTGTTGGGTTAAATCATTTATCAAAAAAACATGGTTTTTTATGTAAAAACCAGCAAATTTGATTTTGACATTTGGTCCAATGATAAGGCTTTTTTTTAATTAGTGTTTGACTCGTATGGCACAGCACCTAACTGTTATAAAGTGAAAAGAAACGTTTTGTCAAAGATTTTTTCATAAAACGGCAATGGAACCAAACATCCCCTAATTTCATACAGTTGTCTTGATTTTAAGTTTGAGCTTTGGTCCATTTGTAAAAATAAAAATGTTGTATGTGGTTTTGAAAATCATTTGACTTAGTATTGTACTCAAACTGCTAAAAAATCAGTTGTAAAACATTTTCTTTTTCTTCGGAAACATTTTAAGAACACCTTTTTATACATTTCTTAATATTATATACCTAGTGTTCAGCTACAATTCGTTCACTGAATTCCGACGATTTTCTTTTAACACCAACAGATCACGTTGCAGCCGTGCATTGTACGAGGTTGGTGTCAGGAGTACTCTATGCGGATTTTGGGGATTAAATCCGAACTCACAAAAAAAAATCGGAACTCACATTCATTAATATTGATTGCATATAAATTCAAATTTCAATAAATTATATATTTTCTAATAATTAGAACCACAAATTAAGAAACCATGTCAAATGCACCTACCTCACAAGTTAATAGCGTAACCGATTTTACTTTTATCCAATGTCTTAAAAACCAATTTGGAGGTCGAGCCGTTTTTCTTTTTAGGTCAAAGATCACCAGTTTGACTGTTTAGTCAAACGGGTCAGACTATGTCATATCAGCGATACACACATGTAATTTTATATTTTTTAATTCAGTTTTTAATATTTTATTTGTAAATATTAAAAAATGTGATTTGAGATAGTGATGGCAATTTTTTCCATCCTCGACACAGACCAAACTTCCCCAATCCAATATATATACACACACTAAATGTTATTTATATTTAATATATATTATTATATTATATATATCAAAACATATTTAAAACATTATATATAATTTAAAGTTTTTATTTATTTTAAATAAATTTTATTTTTCAAAACAATACTATTATCTAAAAAACTTTCGGGGACTCAAGTCCCCATGAGGAACCCATCCCATCGGGGATCAGGGTTGGAGGACAAATTTTATCCTCGACAGGGATCAAAGACAGGGATGGAGTTATTTTCAGAATCTGGGACGAGGAATATGATCCTCGCCCTAAACCCTACCCGTTGCCATTCCTAATTTGAGGTTAAAAAAGCACCTACAAATGCATTGATCTTGAAAAGTTATTTAAAATAAAATAAGATCACCTCAATTAGACATTGAAGTGCAAAGTAATGGTCTTTAGAAGTTTGCATACACATCTAGTGTGCAACCCGTGATCCAATCACCAAGTCGAAATGGGTCAATAGTCCAACTACCTAGGTCCAACATTTTTTTATCAATTTTTGGGTTTTACTATAACCATATCCAAAATCTTATTCTGATGAATAGTTCAATTGATAAGGTCAACAATGGATTGAAAATGTTTCTTTTACGTGTAAAATTATAGGCCCAATTTGTAAGCACTCCTAATTAGACTTGTTCATGGGTTGGGCCAAGGCGGGTTCGGGCCAGCTTGTCTATGTATAAACATAATACATTCAGGCCTGAGCTCGAGCCTAGCCTGATCATCAAGCCTAGGTCTTGAGCCTAAGCTTGGCTCTCATATAAAGCCCAAAGCTCGGCCAAAATTTTGAAAATAGATTTTTTTTCTTTTTTATTTAATAAAAAATGCTTTATTTATATTAAAAACCTTCAAAACTCAAAAACAATAAACATCTCACAATTACTTGAAAAAAAGAGAAGAAAAATATTGTATATATATTTTTATTATTTAATATATAGTATCAAGTCGAACTCAGGCTTAGGCCGGACTTTTTTGAAGAAGCCCAAACCCGGCCTGAAAAAAAAAGTCGGGCCCGATGCTTTAGGCCCGAGCCCAAACCCGCAGGCCTAAAATTATGACCAAGCCAACTTATAACGAGTCAAGTCGGGCCAGCCCATTGGGCTACCTGACCCATGAACAGATCTACTCTTAATCTACTACCCACAAAGTATTTATATCAGATTGAATCTTCTTGAATCGGATAAAAGATGATCCAAATTCGATCAAATAGAATTGGGTCTCGGATCGAATCATAATTCAATACATTTGCACCCCTAATATTAATGTATCTCTCCAATGAATGACAAAAAAGATATTCTCAATGCATCTGTAATGTATCGTGGGTAGAGATATAGAAACAGATTATAGGTAGCAGATCTGAGCCCGTTTCTAATCTTCAAACGGGTGAACGGGTACTCAAAGGTCTCTGCCCAGTTAATAAAACTATATTCTCAAATCTCAACCCGTTAACACGAACCGACCGACTATTCTAGATTTCTATTTTCTAGTACTGGTACATAGTAGTTAGAATTTAGATATCCGGGTATAAACTATAAACGCAATGTGAAAAGCAACCTCCCCAAAGTAAACCCTGTTTGGTTACGGTGAAGGATTTGATTTCAAATTATTTATATCAGAAGTCCAAAGTGGCCGACGAGGGAAATTCTCCTAATTGCTCATTGGATTGGACTGGCCCAGTAGTAAATCCGATGATAAAGAGGAGGCCAAGGCTGTAATTTCCATCTGACTAGAACTGGAAACGTCGTTACTTTCTGACAGAAAATAAGGGCACCTTCGTAATAATGAGGCAAACAGGGAGTATTTAATTAGGAACCATGGCTTAAATACCAACACAAGGAGAGGGAGGTGAGGTGAGAGAGACTCAGAGAAGAGAGAGAGCGCGCGCCATAGCCCATAAGTCACGCGCCGGAGGACCCGAATTCCCGGCGAGAATTCCTGCATAGAAGTTGATGTGCAAGCGAGTTCAAGTCATCTGAGTGTTAGGGCATCGAATCTCTACCCATCCCTCTTAAATTGATCTCAGCGACTAGCGAGCGTCTTTGATTCTCTCTCGTTCTTCTCTACAGAACCCAAGCCAGAAGAAATTCCGCGTCTGGGGTGATTTGTGAAGCAGGATAACAGAGAGGGATCTCTTTTTGATTCATCTCTTCTCGGAAGTCGAGATTATTTCCGAGAGATAGAGAACCCATCTTGGTCGAGAAGCGAGAAGATGGCCTCGGAGTTGATTTACAGAGGCCATGAGACCCTGCCCCAGGCCGATACGTATTCTCCGAAACCCCCGAAGCCATGGCTCTCCGTAACTCGCCCAATTCGCTACATGCTTCGCGAGCAGCGCCTTGTGTTCGTCCTTGTGGGCATTGCCATCGCCACGCTCGTTTTCACCCTACTGCCTCCCTCCCCTGCGAAGCTAAGACACAACTACTACCCGATGCCTGAGATGGATTTCCCGTCAGGATCGGATGCAGTGGCTCACCCTCACCGCTTTGCCTTCGAGCACCGAGGCGGCGGTCTCGGGACTACGAATCCGGCGGGGAAGATACCGCTGGGCTTGAAAAGGAAGGGTCTGAGAATCGTGGTAACTGGTGGGGCTGGTTTCGTGGGTAGCCACCTGGTGGACCGTCTGATCGGAAGGGGAGACAGCGTGATCGTCGTCGATAATTTCTTCACGGGGAGGAAAGAGAATGTAATGCACCATTTTGGGAATCCAAGATTTGAGCTGATACGCCACGACGTGGTCGAGCCCCTGTTGTTGGAGGTCGATCAGATCTATCATCTAGCGTGCCCTGCCTCGCCTGTGCATTACAAGTTCAATCCAGTCAAGACTATCATATCCTTTATTCTCTGAGAGTCTGAGAATTCGAATTCTTCAGTTTCTGTTTCTCACCATTTTCATTGTTTCTGCTTGCGGTTGTGGTGGTTGTTTGGCTTCCTTGACTCGTCTGTGTAGGGATTACAAGACAAATGTGGTTGGAACTCTCAACATGCTGGGACTGGCGAAGAGGGTCGGAGCGCGATTTCTGCTAACAAGCACCAGCGAGGTCTACGGTGATCCATTACAGCACCCACAAGTGGAAACTTACTGGGGAAATGTCAATCCCATAGGTAAGCGCCAAAAGCTGCCCATTTGTTTTTCTTTTCTATCTCTATCTCTTTCCGCTCTTCTCATCGTCATCGACCCACCCTCCTGGACCTGGTCTAGATAGAGAGAGTGAGTTCTGACTTCTGACGCTGCAGCAGTTTCTGTTTCTCGTTCTAACGTGCGACGGTTTGTCCTTCCACCTGCCGCCCGAACCAGCGCACGGTGGTGAGACTATTGGCATTGTATTAAACTTGCACCGAAGGATAGATCTGGTTCTGCAGTGTTGGTGTGAATTTGGGTGGAAAAGTGGGAAGTGAGGGAATCTCTTCGCTTGGGTTTGGTGCAGTAAAAATCAGATTGAGAATTGAGATGAGAGCTTTCCGTTAATTTTCCGACTTTCCGAGGGTGGGCATGTAATTTTAGCAACTGGTGCAGGTGTTCGGAGCTGTTACGATGAAGGGAAACGCACGGCTGAGACACTCACCATGGATTACCATAGAGGAGCTGGCGTTGAGGTTCGGTTCTGTTCTGATCTGCTGCTCTGTTCTGTTCTGTTTTCCTTGTACCCATCACTACGTGTGTGTATGCGTGGTTGACTTGACGAGAGTTGCGTTGCAGGTGAGGATTGCTAGGATCTTTAACACATATGGACCTCGCATGTGTATCGACGACGGTCGTGTGGTTAGTAATTTCGTTGCTCAGGTATGTAATTTTGTTTGTTCCAGACTTTCAGCGTAGGCCTTACGTTTTTCTTTTGTATTATTATCAACTATTAACTATTGGGTGGATCGAACAACCTCTTCAGGCACTGAGAAAGGAGCCATTGACAGTTTACGGTGACGGGAAGCAAACCAGGAGTTTCCAATACGTCTCCGATCTTGTGAGACCCTCTCTCTCTCTCTCTGTTGGATCACATTATTGTTGGTTAAAGTGCATACATTATCAACATTATTGAGTAATTGAGCTTGCTGGTAAGTGGTGATTAGTATATGGTAAAGATTGTGTACCAAGTACTAACTACTAAGTTGGTAGGTAACTGTAGATGTGGTGTGGGGAAGGAGTAAGGACTGGATGACTGACGTTGTGTGGTGGTGATTTTGACGCAGGTGGAGGGACTGATACGGCTCATGGAAGGGGAACATGTGGGTCCTTTCAATCTTGGAAATCCCGGCGAATTCACCATGCTGGAACTGGCTCAGGTTAGATGTTTTAATTTGCTTGATTCTACTTTCTACTTCCTGTTTGATTTAATGCTTCAGTTGTTGTCTTCAGTCTTAACTGAAATTATTATCAAATGGAATGCAGGTTGTACAGGAGACAATAGACCCCAATGCAAAGATAGAGTTCAGGCCCAACACGGAAGACGATCCACACAAGAGGAAGCCCGACATCTCCAGGGCTAAGGAGCTTCTGGGTTGGGAGCCCCTTGTCCCCCTGCGTGAGGGTCTTCCTCTCATGGTCTCCGACTTCCGCCAGCGCATCTTCGGCGACAAGGATTCCGTTACCACCACCACTTCCTCTTCATCATCCTCATTCTAAGGATGAATGATGCCTGCCTCAATTCCGCTGCAATATGGGTCCACCTGCCCTCCCTCTGTTACATATAACATATTGACTAAGAGCAAGATTAGAGACAATAGTTATGTTGAAACTTAAAATATGAAACCTTTCTCAACGTCTAAGAATGCATAGCAACATCCGTGGCACCACCAGCAGCAGCAGTGCTCCATTTCCATCCTTGTCTTTTCATTTGTTTCTTCTTCTACTTTTCCCCCTTTTACCTTTTACCTCTTTTTGATTAGTGATAGTAATAGATGAGATGTGCTGCATATTGGTAATTTGTTATCTTTGTAATTTTTTTTCTCCCTTTGGGCTTTTGACATCATCATAAACAAGTTTAGCAACTGTGATTCTTTACCAATTGCAGTTGCACCAAGGTTTTAAAAGGCTAATGAGGTAGTTGAGGTGTAGTAGCCTTAAAAAGGTGAGGCATAAATCTCATAAATGATAAAAATAATATATAATATATCAAGGTGGAATGATGGAAGGTATGGATATCAATAAAATAGAAATATATAAGCACTAAGTTCTACCTTTTAAACTTTAAATAAAACAATAATTAATTAATTAACAATTAAACATCTACATTTCAAGTAGCAAAATACAAAGTTATCAAATTATTCTAATGAACAATTTGGAAGAAGGGAAACATTTGAGGAATTATCCATAAAGTGATTAAATTTATGATCATCCATTAATTTAGAAGAAAGAAACAACTTAGTTGATTTGATTTTGGTAAAAAAACCAATAAAAAGAAAATAAATCTATTAGGAAAAGAAATGACATAAATAACAAATTTGAGATTAAATTTATAGTAAGAAAATAAAAGTCTCACTTAATTATCCAAAAGAAAAGAAGCTAAGAATTGGATTGGTTCTTTTTTCATTAAACTCTCTTAAAACACTAAGAAAAACTAATAGAACTTGATTTGTCCTATTGTTTTTCAATTTTACTCTTTTTATTTGGCCCATAATAATTACTAATGTGCTTCTCATATATTTGAACTATAAAATATTTTTATTTTAAATTATTAAATAACCATTAATTCTTGAGGCTATGCTCACACCTTGAGCTTCATTATAACAAAAAACAAAGAGCCTAAGCCTCCAATGAAATTTGTGAGACTTAAAGCTCTGAGGTGAAATCTAAGCACCTCACCTCAAGCCATACCTCTCTAAGGCTCAAACCTTGACCACCCATGCGCCAAGGGATTTTAAGAAACGGTCACAGGGTGATTAAAATGATAATCATCTCAATCATAACCCATACTGTCTTCTATTAGGACCAGGCCCGACTCCAAAATTTGTAGGCCTAATGTGGGCTCAGGCCCATGCCACGAGTAATAATATAAAAATATTTGATAAATTTACAGGCAAAATATTTAAATGTTTGTGAACAATTCTTATTAATGGTCGTTAATAGAGATCTAATAAAAATATTAAGAGAAGGTAAATTTTGAAAACTCAATGATATGAAGCCTTTTGTAGAAATGTGAAAAAGCATGGTAAGTTGAAGATAAATGTGAAAAAGTCGTCATTGCTGTTTAAATTCGCATAAACGCCCCCCAGAACTTATCACACGGTATATTTTAAATATGGGAGATGTGCGTATGTAGCGCCTCTGGATCGCTCTCTGCGGGGGCGCCAATGTGAATTCCATTTAAAAGAGGGATGCTTTGAACTTGATGCTATTTAAAAGGAAGGGTAAAATATATAAACCTTTCCTAAAGTTTTTGACAATCATAAAAACTTTTTTTATAGTTTTATTTTAACAAATATCACTTCTGAATTTTTGAGAAATTCAACAAAAATTTCACTTTCCTCATTGTCTCAGATGAAAAACGATAAACTGATGCACCAATTTTTTTCAAATACCCATTTTACCTTTTTATAAATTATTTTATATATAAAATTACTGAAACAACCTCATTTTAACTCAACAAAAAATTCTTTTAACTATCATTTCAGTAATTTTATATATATTACTGAAATATATTTTTTTATTGATTTGAAATGAGATTATTTCAATAATTTTGTATGTAAAATAATTTATAAAAAGGTAAAATGGATATTTGAAAAAAATGATGCATTAATCTAAGACTTTCCATATGGGACAGTGACAGGAGAAGTTTTTGTTAAATTTCTCAAAAAGTTCAAAGGAGATATTTGTTAAGATAAAATTATAGGAAAGATTTTTATGATTATTAAAAACTTGAAGGAAAGTTTTTTTATTTTACCCTAAAAGAAATTATGCTGGATCTCAAAATGTACGACTACCCGCATGCAATCTTGTTGGAAAGCCGGGAAACAGCAAAAGCAAGTGTCCAAAATCAAATGGTTTATTTGTCTGAAAACCGACACCAAGGACAACGTACAACTCTGTCTCTCTTAGGACGTAGTGGGCCCCACCCATCTCGGGGGGCGGATAGGCTTCATGTGCAATGAAACGAGACTCTCTCATGTACACGTTCACCATTTCAAATCCCAGGTCCTGGTGTCAAGGCCACTTGTCTGTGCCCGTCATCAGAGGCCATGCAATTCATCCCATCCTTTCACTTTATATATATATATATATATATATATATATATATATATGACCATGACCAACCTTTTTCAAAGACACCCGTTTTTTAACCAATGATCAGACGAGTAGAATTCTCTCCAGCAATGCTCAATCCCTAACACAGATGAGGCGATATATAAATAGGAAAAATTCCCGAAAATTCTCTGGGCCTAATGTCACTTTGGTTCCAAAATTTTAAAACGTGATAATTCATTTAAAAGATATAAATGTTCCTCGAATGTCATTTAATTTTTTTTATCAACCATTGAAACGATTGACAAAAAAATGAAAAATCTTAAATTATTCTCTTCTGTTCAAAAAAATTAGGGTCACATCTCAATAGGCATCTTGACAACCTCAACTTTCTTGAATAAAAGAAACTAAAATTTAAAACTGTTCATTTTATCAATGTTTGAATGATTGATAAAGAAAATTAGATGATTGATAAACATCACTTAACTCAGACCAACCCAACTAGAACCCATATTGACATGTTTTGATAATTCTAATACTGAATTGTAGCATTTTAAAGTTTTGAGACCAAAGTGACACTAGACCCAAAATAAAAGGTACTAATCAAGAATTTTCCTTATAAAATATTAAGAATGATGACCGAATGATCGCACGTTCATTGAATAAGGCATGAATGCCCCATCTCTAATTTTGTCGCTAATTTATTTCAAATTATCTGAATTTTAGAGCCATATGATATGAGAGGGTCCTGATCAAATCAGTCAGGTCAATAAGTATTAGCATTGAGGACTGTTGGTGAAGGCAGCGAAATCATATAGGCGCTCCCTCTCAAGTCTGAAGCCTAAACCATGCATAGGTGTTACCGTTATTTACTACTGGCTGTGAGAATTAAAACCAGTCAAGAAGCTCGTGTCAGAATTGAATGATGTTCGATATCTCATATCTACTACAATTAAAAGACTAATAATCTTCCAGCTCCAGCCAACCAGTACTCTGAACGAAAAGCAGCATAATGAATTGCAGTTAAAGGTAAAAAACAAGTTATTAAAGTGACCTTGTGTCGCGCAGTCCAACACAAACTATAGTGGTTTAGTTTCTGATTCATTTACATGCTGAACCTGCACACTGGCTGGAACAAGTAATTAATGTTCTCTGGCCTGACCCACTATATTTCTCTCTGCAAAATGAGTTGAATAAATAAAATGAAAATATAGGCTTCAACATGTTTATCGACCCATCATGTGATGTTTTCTAATTGCAACTGCAACATTGCAAGAAAATCAATACATGTGGAGTGTTCTTATGCTTTTTAATCCTTGTGCATACATAGGGGAATAATAACCACACAATAGCATATCAGAGCTCCCCACTAGCAAATGAAGAATTAAATTACACTCATTTTTCCCTTGGTTTTAAGCATCTCTTTGGCCATAGATTTTATCTAGGCAGAGATCTGAGGATTCTTACACAAATAAATGGCAAACTACGCTTCTCTTGTCATATTAGTTGTCAATAAACCATCCAGGTAGCTAAGTGGTGTCACCATAATAAAAAAGAAAACAAATAAACATAGGACGTAGACTATTCTTTTCTAGATTTGATCAAAACGTGTGGACCACCAGCTAGATAAGCAAAGCTTTACATCAACCCTCACTATTCAGAAGTCAGTGGTGGACAAATTCTAAGGGCTTATATTTCAACTTAGCGAAGGGAAAAGCATCAAGTCTCGGTGTAGCGGATACCATGAACGGAAGAGACCTTGCAGACGTGATGATCTTCAACTTCCCTCAAAAAAAGGACAAGAAAAACAAATGAAGATGCCAAAAAATAGGTAACCAATTCTTACGTCTCAGCCAAGCTAATACAAGATGGGTCTTTGATGGCAAAATGAAAAATAAGTTTCTAAAGCGGACCTAACAATTACTGAGCTGGAAGGTACTTTTGAGTAGTCAATAACAACTCCAGTTCATTTCTGACCATATAGAAAAGTAAAAAACCAGTCTATCACAAAATACCTCTCACTTGGGATTCCTGAGAACTATGATCACCGAGTCTCCACGGAGAAACATCTTGCTGATGAATCGATCCTTGTTAACTGGCTGGGCTTTTTTCTTGCCTTTTCCTGTCTTGGGCACCTGCACCAAAAATACAGAATGCATACAATCAAGTTGCAATCACAAGTGCAGATACAAAGAAAAAGGGAAAATCTTTTGCAAACAAACCTCGGTCCACATCTCCCTGACATTTTCAAGAACCATATTGCAATGCCGGTCAAAGGCTCTAACACGGCCAAGAAGCTTCTTGTTGTTCCGACAATTAATGAGTACCTAAAGAGATAGAAGTAGTAGTCAAGATACAATTGCTGCATAATCAAACATCCCGACAGGTCCACACAGCTAAATCTTGCAAACAGATAAAGAAATTGCAGCCAAATAGGAGGCATCTCGATATAAGATGTGTATGATGTATTTCCCTAAATCTGTTGTGTATTTCATGTCCAGATGACAAGGAAGCCATCCAACCATCCATATCTATCTAAGTAGCACCTAAAGGTGATAAAATGAAGGTAGTATAAGATGGCTTGTGAATTGCATAAAAGAGCACATAATGCACCTGTAATAAGGATTGATCTGGTGTAAACTGATTGTTCCAGAAGAGCCAAAGGGTACACTTGAAAGCAAATGGGTAAAAAGGTAGTAAGAAAAGTTCTTGAGGACACATTTTTACAAGGTTAAATTGATGGTTCAACAAATACCCACCATTGATAGGTTCTGAATCCTGAACCCTAATCTTCTAAATAATATTTGTCACAATTTTAATATGTCAACCCTCACTGTCAGATGCTAGTTGAACCATTAGAAACAAGTAATTTTTTGGCCCCTAATAGAAATACAAAAGACATTTACCTGAGTATTATTTTTCACACTCATCATCAGAACAGAAAGTGGACCTGTGTTAAATTCCTCTTCCTCGTTCTTGCCACCCTGCTGCACACAAGCAAATAGGAAGAAATGCTTCCAAATGTCATTGATAATCTAAACTGAATCTAATGAATTAACAGTTTCAAATTTTCAATAGCGGGTACAGTATATTTGGCCAACTTTCTTTCAGCACGAAGAGAATATGGAGGCAAACCAAGTCACCTATAAAAGAAAAGGTGACGGGATAATGCTCCAGTTGATTAATAAATGCAAGTACACATATAAGAACAATATTTTGGGTCAAGTAGGATTATTTCCCACAAAACCTTCCCTGTTCCAAGTGGAGGAATGATGGGATCATCTCGCCAAGCATCAAAAAGGGGAAGTTACCATCACTTGGAAGCTACCAATAGAGATGTCAGACTTTTTAGTTGGAAATTTTGGACCTTTGCCTGATTAAAGATGAAGTTACCAATAAGATGCACACTTAACCCACAGACACAGTAGAGAGCTTAACCATATATCAAAGAGTTTGAACCCATTACTCCTCATTGCAAGGAATGCCTTACCAACCAACTTGACTATGAATTGATTGGTAAGCTATGAGGTCAATAATTAAATTAACAATAATAACAAATGAACCAGTTTCATCTTTGACCTAACAATAACAGATACCATACCAGATGAGCTATTTAAATTTATATTTGTCTCAGATGCTATGAACATTAAGGGTTATAATAATTAGGTGGGCAGGAATCAGTTCATGATTTTAAAGCTACAAATAGAGATTTCAGACATTTGAGATGAGAAATATGAACTTTTGCCCAATTAAGGTAAAGTTACCAATAGAGTGCACACCGAACCCGCTGACACAATATAGAGTTTTCCATAAATCGACATGTCTGTAACTAATGAATTTCTTTGTTGGGTTAAGCTTGGGTCTGTATTGTAATTAGTAGGGTTTTTGTGGACTTTTTGTCTATGCACAACTTCTTGTTGCACAAATCCTTTTAATTTAATTAATCATTTCTGTGGTGCTGATCAAAAAATAAATAAATCGACATGTCTGAACCAACTTGACTACAAGTTGGTACTCTGAGGTAAATAATAAAAAGTCTGTTAGGTCCGGCATAGAAGCAAGCCCAGACAAAGAGATCCAGGCCCATCACGCTCAAGCCCCAATCCAGAGCATTCCGCGGATCACGCGCACAACACCACCTCTGAGGTTCATTTACACGTGCCGTCCACGTCAGGAGGCTTGATCAGGGTTTGTTAGAGGTTGTCCTCGTCGAGCATTATAAATATCTGTAATAAGCTGTATAAGGGGGATATGATAAAAACCCTATTAGCATCTTCTCTGCCTCTCTTCTCTTCCTTCTTCCCTCTCATCCATTTCAGGAGGGTGAGCTCCCTTGAACCAGCTCCATTAGTATCGAGTTCCAAAGGTGATAGATCCATCAATTGGTATAGAGCCTAGCCCTTGATGCCGACCACCAGGTCTACAGCGGCAAAAGAAAAGATTGATCGAATCAAAGGGGAAGTTCGGCAGACCACAAATGAGCTAAGGGACATTAAGGAGACACTCTCGGCATTGGTCGGACAGTTCGAACAGATGTCTGCGGCACCTAGAGCTACTGAAACCGAAGGGTCCAGCAGCAACGGAAGCAGGCGTGGTGTAGTCTTCCCCATCAAGGCTGCTAAGATAGACTTTTCGCTCTACTCAGGTGATGACCTTGTTCCTTGGATATATCAGGCCGAACATTAATTCGAATTTCATGAGACCCCCGCTAATCAGAGAGTGCCTATTGTCGCCATTCACATGGACGGCAAAGCCATCATGTGGTATCAATGGTACCGTAAGACCCACCCACAGACCACCTGGTTAGATCTGACCGAAGCTTTACGCGTGAGGTTCAGTCCCTCTGGTTATGAGAACTTCAATGAGTCCCTCAAGGGTGAGATAAACAGGGACGGTGAGGGATACCAAAATGAATTTGAACGGTTGGCCACTCGTGTTCATGTCTGACTGGAGGCCGCTCTGGTGGGATGTTTTATAGGAGGATTAAGAGACGATATAAGGATCGAGGTAAATACCTTGCAACCAACCACCTTGATAGCAGTTTGCCTAGCAAAGCTTCAGGAAGAAAGGTTGGACTGACTCAAGAAGCTTGGAAAGCCCACTGGACCTCAGGCAGGCCCAATAGTAAAAAATCCTTATCCCAAGACTGAACCGAACCTAGGTTCCCTTCTTCCAACACCCACCAAGAAACCTGGAGCATTGACCCTTACCGGAAATTGTCATTGATAGAGATGCAGGCCAGAAGGGAGAAGGGCCTTTGCTATAACTGTGACGAGAAATTCGTTCTGGGTCACAAGTCAAGGCCCAACATGTGTACCTCCTACAAGTAGAGGAGGAGAACAAATCTGAGCCCCCTACAGAAGACCCCAGGGTCCATCAGATGGAGGTGGTACCGGAAGTCAAATACTGTGTTATTCCCCTTCACGCTCTAGCAGGATACCAAACCCCAAGAACCATGCGGGTCCATGGGCAGATCTTGGGGAGGAGAGTGGCCGCTTTGATTAATAGTGGGAGTTCTTTGAACTTCATAACTCTCAGACTAGCTCGACAACTTGGGCTAATGATTGAGAGGTGTAAGTCAATGTAGCTAATGATATCACTTGCGAAGGGAGGTGTAAGTCAATTGAGCTCAAGATTCAGGGGTATACCTTTAGGGTGAACCGTGAACCTACATCCCTTAGAGTTCACAGGAGCAGATGTGATTTTGGGCATACAATGGTTACAGTTATTGGGCCCTGTGGTATGTAATTGGGCCGAACTGACAACTTGGAGTTATCCTAAAGGTCGTTCCTATATCCTAAAGGGGGTTAAAAACCAACCCATAACCGCAGACAACTTGGAAGTTATCCTCAAAAGCTGCCAACACAATGCTACCCCCTTACTTATGAGCATGGGCTCAATGCCTATTGGGCCCACCACCGTCCCTTCCTCTGAAGATATAGGCCTTTTTCCGGATCAAGCCCAACAACTCCAGCTGTTACTCCAAGCCTACTCTAACATCTTTCAAGAGCTCGCTACCCTACTTGCCCTTCGAACCTATGATCACAAGATACCAATCCAACCTAGTGTTTTAAAAGCACAAGGCACGCGGGCCAATTTGCGCCTGAGGTGCAAGATGCAAGGCGATGCACGTGCTTTTTAAGAAAGGCGCAAAACTACAAAAAAAAAGCTAAAAAAATAAAAAAAAAGTAAGAAAATTAAAAAAAAATGCCAAATAATTTTAAAAATGCAAAAGATTCAAAAAAAAATATTAAACATAATGTTAATAAAAAATATAAACATAAATTTTAAAATAAATGTTTTAAAAAACCAATTATCTAAAATTAAAATATATAAACATAACATGTAAAGCGTATTCAAATGAAAATTAAAAAATAAAAGCAAACATATAAAGCAATTTCAAGCATGTAAAACCCACAATCTCTTTTTTCCTTAATTGCATTGCTTCAAGTAGCTAATGTGATGTAAAACATATGCATTCTTGATTCTATGAGTCGCCTTTATACCACATCCCTCGAGGCAAGCCCGAACAAGTCTATGTTAGGGTTTGAAATCCTTATTTCTCACATGAAAAATAATGATTTTATAACTTTAACTGCCTTTTAAGAAGATATTTTATTGGAATGAATGAATGAACAGCATTAGCAAATAAGGGATTCTAGGAGCTATAAAGTTATAAAATCATTATTTTTCATGTGAGGAATTAAAGTTATAAAATCATTATTTTTCATGTGAGGAATTAAAGTTATAAAATCATTATTTTTCATGTGAGAAGTATCTTCTTCAAAGGCAATTAAAGTTACAAAATCATTATTTTTCATGTGAGAAATAAGAATTTAAAACCCTAACATAGACTTGTTCAGGCTTGCCTCGAGGGGAGTGGTCAGGGGTCCGGGGGCGGAGCCCCCAACCTAGTCGTTAAGCTCAAAAAAAGGGAAAAAGCGCAAAACTTTAAAAAGGCGCACGCCTGGGCTGAGGCGCAAGGCACACCAAGCGTGCACCTTTTGAAAGGGATGCACCTAGGACTTGGGCGAGGCGCATACCCCAATATGCACCTAGGCACACCTTTTAAATCACTGATTCAACCCGGAGCCCCGCCTGCCAATGTCAGACCCTACCAGTATGGTAAATCAGTTGATAGTCAAAGGATTGATCCGGCCCAATAGTAGCCCATTTTTGTCACCTGTTATTTTGGTGAAGAAGAAAGACGATAACTAGAGATTTTGTGTAGATTACAAAGCACTGAACAATATCACGGAGAAGGATCGGTATCCAATACCATTGATTGAAGAACTATTTGATGAGTTGGGTAAAGCTAAGTATTTTTCCAAGTTGGATCTACGAACAGGCTACCATCAGATCCGAGTACATCTAGAGGATGTTCACAAAATTGCATTCCAAACCTCGGATGGGCATTTCAAGTTCCTAGTAATGCCTTTTGGTTTGACCAATGCACCTTCCACATTCCAAAGGCTCATGAATGAGATCTTTAAGCCCTACCTACACCAAATTGTGCTTGTTTTCTTTGATGGTATACTTGTTTATAGCCCAAGCTGGGCCACTCATTTGGAACACTTGTAGTGTACATTGGGCTTACTTCGCCTCCATCAATTGTTTGCTAAACCCTCGAAATGTTCCTTTGGACAGACCCAAATTAGCTACCTGGGGCACATAATCTCTGATGGACAGGTGCACACCGATCCAGAAAAAATAGCTTGCATGGTCACATGGGCTAGGCCCACCTCTCCACAGGCCCTCAGAGGGTTGCTAGGGCTCACCGGTTATTATCATCAATTCATCAAAGGGTATGGGATCCTTACAGCATCCCTCACTCGATTGTTGAAGAAGCACTCCTTCGAGTGAAATCATAAAGCTGAAGAGGCCTTCCAATTACTCAAGAAGGCAATGACGACACCACCGGGTCACCCACATTGGCACTTCCATATTTCAACCTAGAATTTGCGATGGAGGCTGACGCATAAGGTAA